CTATACATTATTCAGATGCTCCGAGCCACCCACATCTGTTCATTTCTCCAGACGACACACTCTCTCCTCTGATAAACAATAATTACTCTGCTGCCAAGAACACACACACTCTCCCGCTGAGAGCTCTGGCACCCATGTCAACCTCTAACAATGGATTTCCATGGGACGCAGTGTGTTAGAAGCTCTGTTTGTACCATAGGGTTTGTACGCACACAAATAATAATCACATGTGCGGCTGCACCCAAAGTCACAGATGCACGCAACTCTGCACACATACAAATCATTATGACAAATATGGCTGCATACATTTAAGACACCTGTACATTGTGCATTCTATCAAAAGATGTCATGATGGCTCATAAACGGCTCCTTGTGACTGCAGGATGGATACACAGAAACATTTAGCATGGGTGGGCGCTAGCATGATTATGATTATGTGTTGACTTGCTGTGTGTCCTGTTTGTATGTGCACTGGAGACAAAAGGGATAAGAGTATGTATTTGCATTATTCCTCTGTCCTCGTGTGTGGATGAGAGAAGGAGGTGAAGAGAAAAGGAGGCAGTCTTCTCTCTAGTGTCAGCCTTTGATGTGTGTGTGTGTGTGTGTGTGTGTGTGTGTGTGTGGTGTGTGTGTGTGTGTGTGTGTGTGTGTGTGTGTGTGTGTGTGTGTGTGTGTGTGTGTGTGTGTGTGTGTGTGTGTGTGTGTGTGTGTGTGTGTGTGTGTGTGTGTGTGTGTGTGTGTGTGTGTGTGTGTGTGTGTGTGTGGTGTGTGTGTGTGTGTGTGTGTGTGTGTGTGTGTGTGTGTGTGTGTGTGTGTGTGTGTGTGTGTGTGTGTGTGTGTGTGTGTGTGTGTGTGTGTGTGTGTGTGTGTGTGTGTGTGTGCGCCAACCTCTGGTGTCTTGGAGGCAGATGAAACACTGTGCCTCTATCCGGGACTCACAGAACACCCTCTATCCTCCTCTCCTTTCTCGCTCCCTTTACCCCCCCCTCTAAACACCATTCCTTATCACAGCCATTTTAAAGGCTATTCATGTCGAGCTGCGCTTTCATCTTGCGTTGCGCCGCTTTAACCAGCTCCTCTGTTTTTTTCCTTTCCCGAGCCTTTTATCAGATTATAGAGGAAGAGGAGGACGGGTGAAGTGAACCGCTGTTGTACACTGACTCACAGTCAGATGGACGCTGCGTGAAGGTGCAGGAAAGGCGGCAGCTTGACTGTAACAAGATAACGTTGGGATGTAGGGTGTCTTCCAACACTGTGTAACCTAGATCAGCCTTTAAAGCCCCACCAGCACTATTTTTATAAGAATGCTAACAAAAAAGTGTCTCAAAGTGTATTTTCCTTAGTACATTTTTGGACTCACTCCTATTTTCTGTGCAAGAACTCCACTGACATAGAAACATTGCTTTGTGTTGCATTAATTAGCTTAATTAAGGACCTCATGAGCATAATTGGTTATGTTTAATATATCATGGTGATTACAGTAGGGCATTAGGCGGCTTATTCTCTCGTGTTTGTGCCCGCTTTAATTAATGCACTCTCTAACACAGCGGCTTGTTTGTGGTGTGTTTAAAGGGCAGCACAAAATGCGGTTACTGCCTGTGCTTCGATCCCCCTTTTTTTTCGGATCATCTGAGGTTAATATTATCGATTAGTTTTGGTTATATTTCAAGGATGAAGACAGAAATTATCAAGTGATATTGTAACTTCCGTAGGTGTTAGCCTTTACTATAAGTATGGTTATTAGAGGCAGACACATACACTTTTATTTTCAGTACACATATGCATGTGTAAAAGGGTGATAAGGCAGACTTGGTTCAATAAAGTATTATTAATAATTTAACTTATTATTATTATTATGCCAGAATTGTATGAATCAGCCGTTGTGAATTTTATTGTTTTGCATTATAGTTTTGAATTAAATGCACATCCTAATATTTCTATAATATTCAGAGAAAGTGAAAATGCACCTTATTCATATCCGTAGGAGTAGGCTCATGTTCAAATAAGCGTAGTTAAGTGAGGAATGCTTGTGACTTTATATTGAGTCTAATTAGAAATGTTGATCAAGGATCTTGATAACACTAATTAGCCACCCAGAGCAGACAACACACTGCGTGCTTGTCTCCTAGCATCTGGTCTGAGTGTTTAACCTCTACTGTACAGGCCTAATGGATGACCTTTCCAGTTCACCTGCCTTTAATAAAGCTCTAATTAAGAGAGCCATGAGAACCTGAGCGGCTACCAGTTAATGGGTGCTTAAATAAAAAAGAGTTAGGTGTTTGGTGGAAGATACTCAGAGGTAATCACTCGAGGCAAATGTCAGCAAACAGAAGAGGTTAGCTGTTATTGCAGTAATCTGATAAATGAATGATAATCTAGAGAGGTAAACGTTGAGGAATATTTAGTACTTTTTCATTTCAACAAGGAACATTTTGCAAAAAGGATTCCATGTTAAAAACACAACTATAATTGTTGCATTTAAGAAATTAATGAGACTCAGAATACCTTTATTCTTCCCACAGAGGGGTAATTTACATTGGTACAGCTAAGAACCAAAGATAGCTTAGTATTAAGAAGTATGGATACAAATATTAAAGAGAAAACTATAAATTACAAAATAAACATCCAGAACCATTAAGAGTTTTTTCATTGGCGGCCAGCAAGGCCTTCTCTGCCTAAAGTCTATCCGGATTACTGACTAACCTTTTAATATATGTTTTCACTGACATGTATTCAATTATTTCCAATAGAATATTGGACAAAGAGAATAGCATTTTCTCTGTGTTGCGCTCGGTTGCGCTGCGTCCAGTAATAGTTGTTAATGTTGGTATTGGGGCTTCTTTTATCTAATCATATTTGAGTCAGAATGTGTTGCTGGGTCAAATGAATCTGCCGGAGACATTCAGAATCAGCAGTGCGTGCGCTTGTAGTTTAAAAAAGTGGCAATGAACTGTTGCATTGACCAATCAGATTTCGAGTTGGCGACACCGGAAAAAGTATACTACGATCCCTTTTGAATTGTGCCACAAATTACACATATGATGTTTGTCAATTTAAAAGATAATTTTGCAAGTCAAACATTTTTAAATGTGTCGTAAAAATGTGAAGTAACACTTTTTTTTGTGAAACCGCTCAATGAACTACATCTCCCGTCTCGCACCACACACCAAGACGGCCGTCACGTTGGAACATTTCACTTCTTTCTTTCAGAATGAGGCAAAAAGTATTAAAAGAGGTGAAAATCACTCCAAGTCTGGGCATGTTGAGAGCTGTACATACACACAAGGGGAGTTAGTCGGTTCCGTAAGAGCCAGCATGCGGGACCTGGATTCTGGGATTTGAAGTCTTTCTAGTTGCGTATTTTTCGGAGTCTTATTACAGAGGTAAATAATACATTTATTGGGGACTATTTTCAGTTGCGGATTAATACACATGTCTGTCCTCTAGAGAGAATTTCTATTTATGTATTTGGGATTGAATGAAATTAAAGTGTCCATGTTCATATTAATGAATGAAAATATCACTCAATGTTTTGGGATGTGTTGAAATCACACAAATAGAATGCTACAAGTCGTATCCTTTACCAGGGAATCTAAACATTAAACAGTTTATTCTTAAATGATCATACACGTTTAAAGGGGACCTATCATGCAAAATGTACTTTTTGATGTCTTTTATAGATAAATATGTGTCCCCGGTGTGTCAGGGAACTCACGCAGCGTCAGAAAATAAAAAGCCCTCTCTCTTTTCCTCCGTACCCAAATCTCTAAAAACGGGGGAACAACGGAGCTGATCCAGATTTGCGTCCGATATGACGTAATGTGAAAAAATGTGGACCCATGGCACTATCAGAAAGTTGCTATCAGAAACAATGCCCGACTGTTTTGGATGTAATATGGTCGGTGTCACATTAGCATCGCTAACACTCAGAGCTAACCTGTGGTATAACCGGCAAGAGAGAAAGCCTTTGAGCTCCATACTGTTTCAGAAATAATCCTTGATAATCCATGATATGGCGTTTCATCACGGCAGTATTTAGTTTAGACAGTAGCTGCCGGGTCCCGCGTGAGCTCCGCCCCCTCTTTTTTTTTGTAAAGCTTCATACCCCAAATCAGCACTTTTGCAACAGGAAGTGAAATAGAGGGATATGAGGCATGGCTACAATGGGTGATCTGTTTGGTATTTTGAGCAAAACACTTCATAGACATGTTTTGTATATATTTGTGTATATCTGAGACCTATGCTATTGCCTAAAAATAGCATGATAGGTGCACTTTAAGGGATATCACATCATATTTTGGCTTCTAAGACATTTTTCCTTAAAGGCATTTTAAAATGTCACAGTAGGAAAATGAATGACGTCTGATTTTCATTTAGCTCCTCCTGTTTTCCTGGTGCTGTGCATGCTGCTCACTTTCACACTGTACCATGGCATGCTGGGAAACTTAAGTAACATCTGTGCTTTCTCTCCTGTGACAAAATCAGAAAGTCTGCTGCCTAAAAAAAGCCAAGGGAAAATCGTTTCACTTAAAAAGTTATGTTTTCTCATGCCAAAAATGGTTGGTTAAGAAAAGTTGTTTTACTCCCAAAAAAAGAAGAAAGACATTGCACAATCCTGATTCCAAGCATGATGTGTCATCACTTGTAATCCAGTTATGGGTGTGATTCAGATTGGGGTCACCTATATTTCTGGGGCTGCTGTACTGTAAGTGGCTTTGTGCTCAATGCCATTAGAGTAAATGTCATTAAGAGAGGAGCTGAGATAGCAAGTTCGTCTCTCACTCACTTCGCTTTCTCTGTCTGTTGCTCCTGGTGTTGGTGAATGACGATGTCGCGCACACGCTCAAACATATGCAAATCCCTCACAGTCAGAAGATGATCTACAGGCCAAAGTAGGGAACATTTGCCTGACAGGTACTAAATGTCCTGATACTAACGTCCTCTTGTCTCTCTCTTTATCCTCCTCCCATCCCTTTTCCCTCTTTAATATCCTCTCTCAGGCTTCCTCAGTACCGGCGATCAGTCTGCTAAGGGGAACTACGGCCTGCTGGACCAGATTCAGGCCCTGCGCTGGCTCAACGAGAACATCGGCCACTTCGGAGGAGACCCAGAGAGGATCACCATCTTCGGTTCCGGAGCTGGGGCGTCCTGCGTCAACCTCCTCATCCTCTCGCACCACTCGGAAGGTAATTAGAGACTCACTGTGTTTGTGTCTCACCATTTGTTTTAATAGAAAAACTACCATGCAGCATCTTCCCACTGGTCACAGGATTCCTGGATTTAAAACAAATTGTGATGCTAATAGTCTCGGCCCAACCCTGAAAATGACCGTTTTTGACAAACGGATTGTGGTTGCTTGCATGAATTCCACCTGATCCATTCATGTTAAAGCTGAGATCATTCCTCGCTAATCCCCGCACATCCACAATGCATATTTGCTGGAAAATTTCCCATTCATGTCCCATTCGACCTTGAAAACTCTACACAAAAAATGTGTGATCTTGTATCTGTCGCTGGAATGACTCGCTCTGTATTTAAACATAATTGTTCCTTCATACAGCCTTTGGCTATTTCATGACCCGTGTAAATGTAATCATAGCAGCAAGGTCCTGTCCCATGTGGTCAGATGGAGACTCTGCTAGCAGCATCTACCGCAGAAATCGTTAAGTCCTGTGATGTTCGCTTGACACCTCTATCATCGGAGGAAAACACTGCGCATCCTTTGAACTGAAGAATTTGAGCAGTCATGTGGCTAATGAGCGAGTCCAGGTTTGATTCAGGTTGTGTCGTACATGTCTGCGGAGGATGAATCCCCAACATGTCCCCACATTACCTGAGTATGCGAGCGCTCCTGGCTCTGTTAACGGTCCACCGCTCTGCAGCAGAGAGGCTCTACCTCCGTCGGAAAAAACCTACATCCGTCTGACCTCATGCTCCCCATTACCAACAGCACACCCCGAGGGCTAAGTGTTAACATTGCACCACCAAAAGAGAGACGCCTACGGACCGATCCACTTTGATCTGAATTGAGATCAGTGTGGCTGCCGACCCGCAACCAAACGGTCACGCACTCTGCGCCTTTGATCATGCCGTTCTTGAAGCTGCCCTCCTCAAATCGTAACTCGACACTGCTCAAGGACTCTCTCTCAATATCGCTCTCCTCCATTCATTCACAAACCGCGTAGGACAGACACAGGGAAGAAACGGTGGATGGAGAGATTTAAGAGAGAAAAACCTCACATCTGTTTCAATCCTCTCTGTGTTTGTGTGTATCTAAGTGTGTTTGTTTGTGTCTGAAGCACCAAGCAGACGCCTCTAACTTTGACTCATTCTGTCTGTGTAAATCTGCTTTAATAACAAATGTCTGTTGTCAAAGCTCCAGCGAGCATCTGTACTCTGCTGCCGTGTCACTGTGTCCATTTATCCCAGCCTCTATAATTACACTGATGTCTGCCTACCCTTCATATTAACCCAGCACACCCAACCTTTCTCCACTCATCGGCAGATGACCCAATTAGCCGTTAGCAACCTCCCATAACCCCAATTATTTGATATTGATATCATAACAGGGGCCATGCATAGTGTGTGGAAAGTTTTAACTTATTTCTGTGATGTCTATAATACAATATAAACATACTTATACTGCATTATATTATGTGTTTTACTTTCAATAGTTATAAGCACTTATACATATCTATATCTCAGGATAGTTAATGGATAAGCCATTATAAAAAGATGATGTTTTATGGGAATTATTATATGCTTTTAATTCCTGCAAAAACAAATGTCATGGACTGACTAGCAATTTAAGTCATTCAAATGTTCAATGTTTTGCTATAAAGCATTTTGAATATGTATGAGCAACCCAGTCTCACGGCATTTCGTGTTATAGTCACGAAATTAATTGAATCTTTTGATTTGTGTTCACCAACACGATTTTCGCATTTTTTTCGTGTCACACAGAACGATTTTAATAGCAATGTATTTCTATTGGTATGTTTCGTGCCTGCACCGCGTATTTTTGTCCGGTCGGGTCTTGGAAGACCGGAAGCTGTGGGGTTCATAAAACATGTTCTTACTCAATATCTTACCCTAAGCCTAACCCTTTTATTTTAAATTGTATAATGTCGGAGTTTTTTTGCCGTCCGTGAGGAAAATAAATGGGGCTCAGCGCCTCAGAATACTGACATCTGTATTTTTTGTCATCTGTATTTTTTGTCATCTTTTTTTCCTTCTAATTTGTTATTATTTACATTGCTTTTAAAATCGTTCTGTGTGACACGAAAAAAATGGCGAAATCGTGTTGGTGAACACGAATCAATAGATTAATGTTGTGACTATAACACGAAATGCCGTGAGAATGTGTTGGTATGAGTGCTTATAACTTTGTAAACAGTGCTATAAGCAGTAAATCATTTCAAGTGTGTTTCTAATGCATTCGAGAAAATATCACATGTTTTCCTTACGTTTCTGCACTGTGTTTAGGAATCAAAATATGGAAAGAGCAAATATTAAAAATGAACTCCAGTGTCGAGAATTAGCATTAACATTCGCATGACTGCTAACCATGCCTTTTTTAGGTTATTAGCATCTCTAGAATTAAGAAAGCAACATTTAAACCACCTTGTTTATGATATTTTGTAACTCGAAATGACATATGAAGTAAAAATCATATCTCAGAAGCATACTATATCATGCCACTCTTGTCTTTGCATAAGGTATGAAGCCTGAATCAGGATGGTTAGTCTACAGTAGCTTAACATAAAGGCAGAGAAGAAAGGTAAACAGCTAGCTTGGCTTTACACTAAAATACACATCTCTAGCTTAGTTACCTCCCAGCTCCAGGTCTGTTCTTAACCAACAGTACAGACACAAGTGTTGAATACATTTCATTTGACTCTAGAAAAGTAAATGAAGTTTATTGATGATGTTGTATTTCTCAGATGGCCTATGTGCACTGGCTATCTTGCTTGCTTGTTTATGTTCAGATAGCAACCAGCCATTGACACTCATTGTAGCTCAATTATATGTTTTCAGGGACCCCCCCTTTTAGCAGCAGACCCTAATGGTTGGGAAAGCCTGTATTAACCCCTTGTCTCCTGTTGCTGACAACCAACCCCCCTCACCCCGCCACCAGTCCATTCTCATGCCTCCGCTTTTGTCATCAACCCATCGTCATCATCCGCATCTAACACCAGCCCTCTAGACGCCGCCTGTCTATCATTCTCCCCCCCTCTCCCCCGCCAGGGACACCAGGTAAGGAGTCTGTCATCCCCACCCTTTAGGGACACCAATCATGTCACCTACACGCCGTCGCAAATCAAAAAACGACAGCAGACACGCACAGGATGGATGGCAGGAGGGAAGTGGTAGACAGGACGGAGAGAGGGGTTATAAGTGATGCTGATATGATAAAGGGGGAGACATCACCCAAAGCATCCTGTATTTAAGGAAAGAGGTGGAGACATTATAACATTATTGACATTAACATATAGTAGCCAAATCTAGCTAAGTACTGAGCGGCGAAGGCTCTCTTGGAGTGAGAACTTATTTTGAATTAAATAATAGCGTATTTTTCGGTGCAGATGTGTAGGTATAGCTGTTTCCGATCTGCTTCTTACTATAATTGATTTCCCAGGGAAAGAAGGCTCTGCAGCTCTGCTTAATAATTAACTGACCAATCTTCAGCCCAAGAGAGGGAAGAGAAAGAAAAAGGGGAGCGCGAGAGGAAAGGAGTGAGTCAGGTGGCCTCTTAACGAGCCACTTGAGTGGTTCAAACAGCACCGGAAAGGCAGAACCATGGAGACGGAGAGAGAGGAAGAGGGGGAGGGAGGAACACAGCCAGGGAGAGTGAGAGAAGAAACAGCTAGCACGAAAAAGAGGAAAATGGTTCTCTTGACGTCTCAGATGTGCTTATTCCCAGTCTGGCTTCTTTTGTAGCCCTGTAGCATGCTCTATTCAAGATGCTTTGGGTCTGTAGTGACATAATACCTCTGCCAATTGTATTCCAATGAGAATAATGAGATGAAAAAGTCAAATTGGAAGATATTTTTTACAAAGGGTAATTCTTTTAGTGGAAAAAGAGATGTGCTATATTCATATCAAGAAGTCTCTCTTAACAGAGAACGTTTCCGTCCTGCCGGCAAAAAACAAATGTGGTGGGAAAAGCACATGACATTTAGAGAGATCACCCAATATTTTTAAACGATTTTGGTTATATTCACCCCTTCATACAGTATTATAATCCTCTTTTTCTTTCATATTCTCAGGTCTGTTCCACAGGGCCATAGCTCAGAGTGGAACAGCCATCTCCAGCTGGTCCGTAAACTACCAGCCCCTCAAGTACACAAAGATCCTGGCCCGGAAGGTGGGCTGCACGTACACAGAGACGGCCGACCTAGTCGACTGCCTGAGGCGCAAGAACTTCCGGGAGCTGGTGGACCAGGACATCCAGCCAGCCCGCTACCACATCGCCTTTGGCCCCGTGGTGGACGGAGACGTGGTGCCCGACGACCCTGAGATCCTCATGCAGCAGGTGAGGGTCTACCATGCAAAGAGAACATGGAGAACTTGTTGAAAGAGGTGTGACCTTTCCACAGAGTTAGGGTCTGGCTGTGACATTTAGCAACTGGTGTGACCTCGCATCCTAATACGCTGAAACACACTGCCTCGGTGGTAGATTCTATACCCATGGCAACTTATTTTTGCTTGTTATCCCATACATACAAATCATTGTATACTTGCAAATCCTTTCTTCACAGGTTGTGTGATCTGTTCAATCCACGACTGATTTGATTTTTTCAGCTTAAATTGAGTCATTTTAGGAGTTTTTACACAAGGACAAGGAAAGATAAGGAATAGTCCAAAAGATTTTAAAAAACTTTCTGATTTCATATTTAGTTATTTGTCATTCTTATTTTGCTATTCTTAATATTGCTTTGACTTGTAAGCTCTATAAGTTCTTAATACTCACAATTAACGTCAGTTTGTTTACATTTCTCACATAAGGGTAGAAAAATTAGATGGACTGAGGGAAAGTATAATAAATGCAGTCCTAATACAAAAAGTGATTTGTTCCAATATACTATTATGATTATTATCATATAATGGATACGGTATAATTGGATAAATGTAATATAAATGTATCTAAACTGGATTTATTTTCCTGGTTTCTTACTTTTATTATGATAAATACTTTATTGCTTTCACGATAGACCAAAATGACAATATCATCTTAACATGCAACAATAACTCAAACCTGAAACATATGTTAAGAAAAAAAGAAAGAAAAAATTGCATTATTTGGGGGAAATTACATTAAAAGCTCATTATGTAAGACTGCTACTGCCCCTATTTTAAGCGATACTCCTTCACCTTGTCCCTGTTTTTTACTGAGCTTGTAGTTATTGTCCCACAACAAAAGCTATACATCAACACTATTGGCATAGATATCACATACAAGTAGGAAAAAAGCTGATTTTACTTTACAAATGCACTAAACAAAGTCGTGTTTAGCAGCCTTCATAATTGTACTGAATTCAGCCCTCAACATGTTCTTCCCCTCTTGCACCACCAGGGGGAGTTCCTCAACTATGACATCCTGATAGGAGTGAACCAAGGCGAGGGGCTGAAGTTTGTGGACGACAGTGAGGACAATGACGGCATCACAGCTGCTGCTTTCGACTACACCATCTCCAACTTCGTGGACAACCTCTACGGCTACCCTGAAGGTAGGGACTGTCGACATTGTACTCCATCCAGGCTGTAATGTACTCTCTCTGAGTGTACCACCTCTAAGATGACACCCCCATGTAATGAAACCTTCCTGGGGTCCACACACACACACAACTCAAATGAAAGGATAAATTGCCAAAATAAAGTTCTAAAAGTATCAGATACAGAATAAATGATTAGCACAAAACTGACCTAAACAATTTAATAAATACTGTACTATTCCCTGGTAGATGAGTTTGTTACACACTATGAAAAAAAAGGGGTTCATATTCTGTTATTCATCATTACAATGTAGGCTTTCTAAAAAAATTAACATACAAAAACATCAACATGTCAAAACTCCCATTGGAATCAAGGCAAGGCAAGTTTATTTATATAGCACTTTTCAACACAAGGCAATTCAAAGTGCTTTACAAAAAATGAAAGACATTAAGAAAAAGGCATTTAAAAGAAAAGCTAATAAAATAAACATTAAAAGAAAAAATACATGGATAAAAGTTTCAGTGCAGTCTAAGATATGAATAGTTCAATTAAACATTAAAAGAAAAAGTACATGGATAAAAGTTACAGTGCAGTCTAAGATATGAATAGTTCAATTAAAAGTTTTTAAACACAATATGTGGGCAAAGAATGAGAAAAAGAGATACAATGTGAGCCCGGCAAAGAGCATCAACCAAGACAGGCATGCTAAAGAGATTGCCTATCATCGAGATGATCTTTCACCGTGGTGGGTCTGTGCTTTGGCCTTTGAGACTCCGTGGGCACTAATGCCGTCTCTCATCATCCCCCAGGCAGCTCCCAATCACAGTGCTGTTGTTCTCCACAGATCAGCCTGCAAAGCCCTCACAGCGGGCCACAGTCAAAACACAGACGCATTTTGATAATGCAGTCACGCTTCCTCTCAAGTGCCTGTCACTCATTCTTCTCTACGAGAGGCATATTTCCATTTTTGCCCTTTGTGTCACTATTTGACTCAGTTGTATCTATCACACATGCATACAAACACTCTTTACCTGTCATTCCGGTTCTTTGTACTTCTATGAAAATCTTCTATCCATGTCAACACTTTTCTCTCAACTTATCACAATTTTCTCTTTTCCCCCCTTCCCCTTTTTTTTCCTGTCCCTTTCCCTTCCCGCGTCTTATCCTCCAGGCAAAGACATCCTGAGGGAGACTATAAAATTCATGTACACAGACTGGGCAGACAGAGACAATGGCGATATGCGAAGGAAGACCCTCTTAGCGCTGTTCACAGACCACCAGTGGGTGGCGCCGGCAGTGGCCACCGCCAAACTCCACGCCGAGTTTCAGTCTCCGGTTTACTTTTACACATTTTACCACCACTGCCAGACGGAGACGCGCCCCGAATGGGCCGATGCCGCACATGGAGATGAGATACCGTACGTATTTGGCGTGCCCATGATCGGTGCTACGGATCTGTTCCCATGCAACTTCTCGAAGAACGATGTGATGCTGAGTGCCGTGGTCATGACTTACTGGACCAACTTCGCCAAGACTGGGTAGGTCTTTCTGATGATTTTTATTTCATAACGGTATATTAAAATGTCTCTTTTTGCGTTGCAGTGCAAATGCAGGATAGACTAGCTAGGGGTAGGGCCTCTTCAGTTGTAGAGTATTGTCTTTCTTTCTTTCTGTTTACTAACCAGATGTCGGTAGAGTTTCTAAAAGCTAAGTGTCCTGAGTCTGAAAGGTTTTTTCAGATGTCAACACAATTATTACATACTTTGAACCAGATTGATTAAAATATTGACGATATGTCCCCTCTCTCCTCCACTAGGGACCCCAACCTGCCAGTCCCTCAGGATACCAAGTTCATTCACACAAAGCCCAACCGCTTTGAAGAGGTCATCTGGACCAAGTTCAACTCCAAGGACAAGCAGTACCTCCATATTGGCTTAAAACCTCGTGTTAGGGACAACTACAGGGCCAACAAGGTGGCATTCTGGCTGGAGTTAGTCCCCCATCTCCACAGTCTACATGAGGAGCTCTTCCCCACAACCACCCGCTCTCCGTCGGGTCCTGGCTCAGGCAGCCAGAGACCCTGGCCAAGAACACCGGGCCCTCGCACCACGCGTCACCCCTACCCTACCTTCCCGTCTGATCCGGAGCCTTATGGTTCGGAGCGTCCACGGCAGGAGCTTTTCCCCGGAGACACCCGGGACTATTCGACTGAGCTGAGTGTGACAGTCGCTGTGGGAGCGTCACTGCTCTTCCTCAACATCCTGGCCTTTGCCGCACTTTACTACAAGCGTGACAAGCGGCACGAGATGCGACGACACCGGCTGTCTCCCCAACGGGGCGGGCCAGCCAATGATCTGGCACACAGCCAGGAGGAGGAGATCATGTCGCTGCAGATGAAGCACTCGGAGCACGACCCTCACCACGACATGGAGCCTCTCCGGCCCCACGACATCCTACGACCCGCCTGCCCGCCCGACTACACGCTGGCGCTGCGCCGTGCCCCCGACGACGTGCCACTGATGACGCCTAATACCATAACCATGATCCCCAGTACCATCACTGGCATGCAGCCTCTTCATGCCTTCAACACGTTCCCCTCCACCGGCCACAACAACACCCTGCCCCATCCCCACTCCACCACCAGGGTATAGTAGGGACTAAGGACCAGAAATACTGGCTCGAGAAGGGAGGCCTCTGGATTTGGGCCTTTGTTCTGTTCTCTTATACTCTTGTTTCTCCAAAAACAACTCCACCTCCTCCATCATGCTGTCAAACTTAGCAGCTCCACTGGTGGCGTGTGGAGAAGCAACTGAACTGCATGGCAGCAGATGATCAGTTAAGGGGTGACTCAGATCTTTCAAAGATACTTTCTTCAAAGGTCTGCTCTTTCTAGACTGAAGCCCCCTGACATTTGTCAGAAGAACGAATGCTTTTTTCGACCCTTGCAGTTTCCATCATCTTCTTCTTTTCGCTCCCTGGTGTGTTATGTGCATATATTGTTCTCTTTTCTACATCTGTGTCTCCTTCCCTGCTTTGTTCCTCTCATTCAACATGTGGTTCTCTCCCTCTCCCTAGCGCTCCTTTGCTCCAAGGACTCACAAGCAGCTGAGCTGTAGGAGTGGGCATAGAGTACATACAGTAATCACATAGCTATGAAAACATTGATATCTGATACTTTCATTACTACCAGCATTCTTTGTGCCAAGTATGTACTACTGTGTTTGCATCGAGGGAGAAAAAAACTAAAGAAGATTCTCGAGTATTCCTATTTACTGTCAATGAACAGATGCTGTGTGTTCTCATGACAAAGTGCCAAACTGGCCCTTGATTGTGTTTTATTCTTTCTCACATCTTCTGTTCTCTTTTTTTTTTTCAAGCATTTGTTTAATTGTTGTTTTTTGTGGAAAGATCTTTTTGCTGAAAATATAGATATAGAGAAATGATATTATATATAGTTATATATAAATGTGTACAAAGGAGAAAGTATATAAATGGGTTTTCTCAGTGGGGATCTATGCATGAATTATTTTTAAAGAGGATGACGGGGGCGGGGGGGCGGGGAGGACACTGTATCTGTCAATGCACGTTTCCCAAATCTAATCAAATCATATCGGTCCACTCTGGATATCTTGTTTTATCTCACAGATCAAAAGCAACACAGAAGATCCTGTGGTATCCCTTCACGTCCAAACATTTATTATAAAAAAAAAAGAGTAATCGCCACAAATCTCATGAGCTGTTGAATAACTCTTCCAATCATTTTCTCCTATATGACGTTATTTAGAGGGTTTTCTCCCACAAGGTGTGAAACCACGCTAACCTTCCCATCTGTATGAAGACGATCGTTTTTTAGGGTACCAAATCTGTCGTTTTAGCTTGCCTGTACAGAATTATTTTTGTATGTCAGTAAGGGTGAGAAACAAAACAGAAACAGGCAGCCTTTGCTCTTTAGCGTACACCGTCCTCCTGTCTGCACCCCTATTTCCAGCACATGCATATTCTGTTTTATTTGTGCCTGTTGTCAGAACTGTTTAACATGGGCGTCAGTGGGCCCTAATTAAACAGCAATGACATAGAGAGGCAGACAGGCAGGATCCCCCCTGTGGTAAAAAAACGTAGGGCTCCGTCCAGCTGCGTACGCCAACATCCCGCTCCATATCTACAGCACTTACTCCCCTCCCACTGATTTCTGGCACCCATATTGCGGTGATCGCCCGCGACCGACTCCCTGCCGTGACCGCAAAACTCAGAAACACCTGACTTCACTGTGTCAGCTGCGTTCCACACAATTTCCGACCTCAGTTCAGCTCTCACATTCAAGGGTTAATTCACTAAGCTTGTGACTTTTTTTGTGTTGTAAATTAAACTTTAAGCACACTGAGGGTAACCGTGGCCTGCATCGCAGAGCTGCAAGATGAAAAAGGGGTTCGGATCTCCTAAACAGGGTAAAAGCAACACAGTGGACAGCTGCTGTCTCTGATTCTGCTCCTTTCTTTGGAGTAAGAGTGTGCAGGCCAACAGCGATTCCCCTCACCTCCTCCAATTCTCTGCTGGATCTCAAAAATGGGTAATCTCTGGTTAGTACAGTACGTTAATGAACTGTTGTTTGAGCCCACAGGAACACATGGTAGCCTACATCCCGTATGGGATAAGTCACTGGTGCTGTCTTTGCTTGTGCCCTAGCTTTAGCCTGTTTGTTTGGTTTCTATTTTATTACTGCCTACCAGGGTAGCGGGGGAGGGCTGTAGAGGAGGAGATATACCTGGCTGCTCCTGTCAGAGATGTTGTAAGCCCGCTGAAAAGGAATTGTGCACAATGTAAAACACAAAACAACTGACTTGGGTGTGCTGCCCGTGGATAAATGCTGTGGAACAGATGATGGACAGCGAGGGGAAAGGTGCACACTGCGGAAAATAAACTTCGGGAGGAAATAGGAAAAAGACTTAGCAGCCTTAAATGTAGAAATCACAGGAGGATGAACTAATCATTAGCAAATAAAGACATTCAAAGGCATGACCATCTTTCTACCCACAATGTTTGACAGGAGGATACCCTGCTCATCGTCCCATGGAGGGACTGATGGGTGTAATCTACTCACTGCTGCAGATAATGAGGCAGTGAGTGGTTGTGAGGTTAACCTCACCACAGCTACAATGACACCATCAGAGGTGAAAACAGCAACAAGGTCTTCAGTTTGGTCTGTTTTCCCCTGTCTATTTTATAAGCTAACACTGGAGGGCAGCGTTGAGGCGGCTTCACTGCAGTCAACCCACTCTGAGGAAACTGGATGTGTGAAGAAAACCGCCAAAATGGACAGCAAACAGACACTCAACATCTGGAAGAAGATCAAAACTGTACATTTTTATGTGTAAGAATCAAACAGACAAAATATTTGTAAATATTAAGTTTCTTGTTTGTTTTTTCTTTTTTTCTTTTTGAGTGAATGAATGAAATGCTTACTTTGTGACAACAAAAAGACAACAGGTGCAGTTTGCAAAAGAAAGGGCCACCAGCTTGAGGTTTCACATCGACTGCTTGCCGACATCCCTTTCATGCCATTCAAAAATGACCTTTCCCTTTACTTTGTGTCATGTCGCCCATTATCACGTGGGTATCCTGTAGCATCCTGATTCATTAGCAGGAAAGTCACTGTAGCAGAAATTCATCTCCACTGCAGCCCACACACGACAGAGGGCCCCAGACTCTGTAGTTAGTTTGAATATTACAATTTAAAATGTAAAAATATAGTTTAAGTCTTGTTTATCTGAGGTTGTAGGGGGTTAATTACTCTGCATTTTGTTATTCTCTTTTTGGTTTAAGCTTTAGCAATCTATTACTTAGGGATATGATCCAACTATTGTCCTGATGAATGTGTGAGGGATTTAACTTCAAAGTATTTATGGAGGCTAAGAGCACTGATAAAAGCAAACTAACCTAGGACCTGGCGTTTGAACAATGGTCAAGACACTAAACACAAAGACAGTTCAATGTTAGCTCACTTCACATGTAGCAGTGTTAACCTGTGGCCCCTAAACACGTGGGCCCACATGAGGGCTTTGATACCAAGATGCCTCACAGAGTAATGAGATCACACAGCTGGGCTGACCTTTTCCCTACACTCACTGTGTTGCATTGTGATCATGGAGGTTGTGTGGACCATTTGATGTAGCAGTGAACAGTTTCATCTTCGTAACCGTGAAGAAAGGGAGGACATTTTAAGTAAATCTCAAAAAGGCCAGTGCACTTACAGAGGTTGAATGTGTGTGTTTAGCGGTGGATCAGACTGGATGTATGTAGACACACCTAGACTCAACACACTGCAGTCAGACAAGCAAACCAAAATGACTTTATATGGCCCACGGTAAAGACAGTGACACACCCACACAACCTCCATTGCGGAGTTGCACCTGTTGTCTTGTTTTTACATTATTTGTTGAATTCAGAAACCCAAGACTTGAGATGAAGAAAAATGTTAAATAATGGAATTTAAAAAAAAAGATGATTATTAAAAAAAAGTATAGTAAAACTATATAAATAAATGAGCTGATGATATTTCTGTTTACTTTAGAAGTTATTATACACTGTATGCTGTGATTCTGATCTGGGAAACATTAAAGACATTCATAGCCAGTCTGCAGATTTGGTCTCTTTATTGAAATAGTAAAGTAGGCTATACATGTTAACAATATTTTTATTTTATTTTTATTTAACCTTTATTTAACCAGATAAAAGCATTGAGATAGAATCTCATTTGCAATGCTGACCTGGCCAAGAAGGCAGCAACGTTACACATAACAGATAACACAAATATATAAAATACAGAGAACATAACTAAGAAAACAAAAGACGAAAAAGCAGTCACTACATTGTGCACATTACTGCAAGAGCAGCTGGTGGTAAGGACCTCAGACAACTTCAATTTAAAACATGCTATTGAGAGTGCCGTCAGTTTGAGGCGTGATTGAAGGTCATTCCAACCCAGTCTCACAAAAAAACGTGTAATAACTACGTTGGTCCACAACTTGGGACGTAGTATTTCTACAAAAACGCCTCTGAAATTGTAAGATCCTTACGTTTTTTTTCACCATTCATTCCAATGGCTGGCGTCGATGTCACGTGATCTTCAAATTTCTCCCTGCAGAAAAAAAAAACATGGCCGACATTCGTTTTATTCTCGGTGGAAAATGCCTATTTTAAGGTTAGTTTGGCCATTAAATTGCGTTTTGATGTCATTTGATGCGAGAAATATGAGTTGTTATTTCAGATTATGTGTGCAGTGGATGTACATGATCTTTAGTTTGCTAGTTATTACGAAGATTACTTCAGGAAATGGTGTCCATTCAACGTTTTCATTGTTACCAAGATGGTTGCTAGGGACGCTGGTATCGATATTATTTATGTTATGTTGTGTAACTGTTTAATGGTGTTATCTTTATTGCTACCCCCTTCCCCGTCAATGTATAGTGTTGGTCCACAGCGCAAACTTATTAGTTTAACTAAATCTGCATCTAAAATTGTGGCATATATCTACGTTATTTTCCCCTGTGCAATTCTCCATTTACTCAACAATAACACACAATTATCCTTGTGTTTATTTATTTGTTAGATTAATAAACACAAGTTGGAGTCCGTCAGGACCGAGGGTCGGAGCAGCTCATTTGCTTTGGAGAATATTACACCCGGAAGTATATTCTCTCCGCTTCGCTTGACACCCCCCGTGAGTCCTCAAGCTCTGTGATTGGATGTTTGAGTGTGCTCCGAGGGTTACGCCGAGCGTCGAACAGAACTTGAAATGGGATGGAACCACGGCAGACTGTCCAAAACTGGATTTGAACCAAGCGGCAAACTGTGGGGTAGAGCCGGGACGCCAATACGGAAGTACCACACACTGCAGTTCATATATTGGCCGATAGGCGATGACTGCAGAAAGGAGCAATTTCCATAGACCCATAGCCGCGGGAAGTAGGAGTGCTGGGGGTGCTGCAGCACCCCCTGTTGGAGAGTGGTGTACATTTGAAAAACTGAGTGACCACCTAAATAAAAATGATTAAACTACATAAAATAGTTATGATTTTACTTAAAATACAATTAGCTGTATACAGTAGCATATAATAGTCATAGTATATATTTGTATATATCAGGTGGCTTGAATTTATTTTCCAAATAAATAAAATCCGAGTCATCTAGGTCATAAGTCGTGGGAGAGTGACGTAATTGACGCGACACACACACTGCAGAGTGACAACTTTATAGAATGGCGCAAAAAAGGATTTTGGATTTTTTTCTCCAACAAACAACCCAATAAAAATAGTGGACCACCACTCCTCAGCCCACCACCTCTACAACTAGAGTAATATGACACAGAAGAGACTGACACATCTGACTTTAATGCATGTCCATAGTAACATTTTGGACAATGTGGATGTATCTGCTCTAATGAGGGTCTTCATTAGCGCCACCCCAGGCTACATTTGGAGTTTTGTGAAGCCCCAACACAAGGTAAGACGATATTTGTCCTTTAATGCTGCTGCCGCTGTGCAGTGTTTTGCCTTGTCAATCAGTTAAAATTGAATTCATAGTTTTATTAATATTGTAAATAATATTTTCTGACTATTTGTAATGTTATGTAGGTTTGTAAGACCCATAGTTAGCATGTGGGCATGTGCAGCTGTTGCTAAGGTCTATAATGGTTTATTAAAGTTAAGGCGAGACACCCCAGGTGAATAGGGTAATTTCTCCAGTTAATTACCTACAATAAGGCAATTGTTTCTTATATTACAAGTTTTCTGAATATGCAAATGAGCCATTATCTCATTAAATTTGCGCATATTTTAACACATTTCAGGAACCGAAATCTGAACTTTGGATAAAGCCAGGTTCAAAATTATCGTTTCATTTTGTAGGCATATTAGCATCTAAGGCTTTTACATAAGGGATTTTGGATATCTCTTTTTATCACTCCATAAATCAGAAAATACTGTCAACAGCCCTAAAATATCAATTTTCGCCATGTTTCTAGGTATAACATCTTATATAATTCAGGCTATGAATTATCTATGAACAAACCCTTCTGTAAAAGCCTTCATAATATTGATAGGAATATAACTGGAAGGTTTGGTGTATGTACGTGCAACTGAAGTGGACATTTCGAACTCAGAGTAGGTGAAAAAACTCATTTTGAGAAAAGGACCTTTAAAGATTGCAGTGAGGCGCTAGCTAAACCCTCCTGTTCTCTGGATGACAGCTTGCGCATCGACGCACTCCGTGAAGGTATTTCATGTTCGGGGTCATTTGTGTTTTGTATAACCTTGCTTCGTGCAAGTGACAATTGTTGTTGTCTTCTCTGTGAACGTTTTTTTCGCCGTTCCTTTGCCATTTTGAGATTTACATTTCTAGCGGAAAGCTAACCAGGAAGTGTTTTAGCACATCACGTGACGCATCTGAACGAATCACGTTGTCAGAAGTTGACACCAGCCAATGAGATTTCGTTTCTTGGTTTAAGACCCTTTTGTACTTTCACGATTGGTTGCTGATACAAAGGAAATGACCATATTTGGATCTGATGAGATTGTACAGGAGAGACTCAGCTTTCCAACGATGACATGGTGCAAACAGCGGTCGCGGTACTTTATGTTACGTTAGAATGCTAACTTTTGGTGAATTTAGGAGAAATATACAGACGCAAATAGACCAACTATAGTAAAATGAACACTTAAATGTGTATTTTGTACGTTTTACTTCCAAAAGCCTGAAAGAAAACATGTTATGGAATCAAAATAGTACAACATCTCAAAATTGACCAGTGCATGAAAAACGATGTTTTTGCCTGCCGTGTCTCGCCTTTAACAAACAATGTATGCGGCTCGTATCGCTGACAGCTGGGCCCGGCTCCGCACCGCCTTTTTTTTTTTTTTTAAGCCACTCCCTCCTCACTTTTGGCAGCACCCCCTGAGCAAAATGACTTCCCGCGGCTATGCATAGACCCCTTGTTAAAATGCCCAATTTTACAGCAGAAAAAAACATTTCTACCCCTGGCTCCATACATTTTATTATCGATATAGTTAGATTCCACCTTCATGATTATGAATCTGTGAGTGAATTGTTTTCTAACGTGACTCTTTTATTTATATTAGGTCTTAAAGTTTGTGCATAAATTAGGGCGTGGTCACATTGAGTGACGGCTCTGTCAAGTGACTGCTGCTGCTAGCTTCTTGTCTCTCTGCTACCTGCTCCGTGAAGCTAGCTACAGGGACTCTGCCTGCTCAGCTCATCCAGGAAACACAACTTGAAGCCGGTGTTCCGGATTGACTGGTTCCCCGATCAACTGGTTGACAGATGTGGAGGCGTGGCCTCGACTGAAATACACATTTCGATCGCTTCTTCTGTCGTTTACATACATCTTTTGGTATATTTGGCTGGATAGGAACACTTTGATGTACATTCAGTTCCAGTGTGTGAGGTTGTGCTTACGATGGCAATATCCGGACGCGAACAGCGAGGACTACAAAAAGAAAAACGAGTTGATCGGGGATGTCTGTTCAAAACATTGCGAGCTCCAATAAATCATTTAAACCAGCTATTGTTGCCAGACTTATTTCTGAATATCGTTCTTAATGTGATACCAAGTCCATCTGATACCTGTGTACACCTTCAGACAGCCTCCAAGTGAAGCACATGTTATTTACTCACAGTTTGAAAGCAGCGTGGAGAAGTCCTTCAGCTGTGTTAAACTGTGATCGCTCGAATAAATCCTTAAAACCAGCTATTGTTGCCCGATTTATCACTGAATATCGTTCCTAATGTGATACCAAGTCCATCTGAGACATGTGTACACCTTCAGACAGCCTCCCAGTGAAGCGTACGTTGTTTACTCAGAGTTTGAAAGCAGCGTGGAGAAGTCTTCAGCTGTGTTAAACTGTTCCTCTCAGGTAAACTGTGATTCGCCCATGGGAAAATGGGATCCGCCCAGATTAAACTGTGTTACGACTTCTGTGGCTATCTACCAGCGATCATGTTTAATATGAAAGACACACACATATACATCCCTTATAAAAACGGCATTCTGCAGCACTCATCCAGATAACATGTGACTGTTAACTCGTTTTGCAAAGATAGCAGCAGAAATGTCATTGCTGCATGTGCAGGGATATTAGACTTTAAAATGCTGATGGGTCATTAATGTTGGTCTCGGCAAACAATATTAGGAATCCTCTATTCAAACCACATCATATTCAGTGTCCATCGACATGAAAATAACAAAAAAGTTCATGCTGGACTCAAACCCGAGTCCCAACCATAGACTGTACAGGGTCCCAACAACAAAGGTCACTCCAGCCCTGCGCGTTATGAGTGCGCCACAGATCAACACGACGTATCGAACCACCACACTATAATATTTTAAATTAACCTTGTTAAAAAGTTCCAGAAAAATGCAACCCGACCATCATTTATAATGTGAGCGAATGTACACTTTAAGCCATATAATATACATATTATAATATAGTATACTGACTGAGGTCTGTATCAAGCCTCATTAAGACCCACCGAGATCAGATATCCTAGTTTATCAGCCTGCGAGCCCACATTATGTTGTGATAAGTGTTAGTTTTACATATAAGTGTGTTAGGGTT